GATGATGCGGTGCTGTTTTCATGGAAAACACTGATCAGCTAAAAGACAAGCTGAAACAGCTCGACAGAAAGAGTGAAGAAGTAAAACTGCTAATCAATCGGTTACAAACAAAGATATAGCGATCGAATGCCCCAAAAAAGGCCCATATGATAAAGCGCAGCGTAAAAAATTCATAAAAAATCCATAAAGATTTTTACCTAGGCCAAGAATTCAATAAGACGTATGATCAGGCTGGAGAGTTTCAATGGAGAAAGAGGGTCGCTTGAAGCATTGTCCATTCCATCGAGAACGTCCTCCTAGGCAACATCAGGAAGGAAACTTGAATCAAATCCTTCAATCCTACCGTCCTGCCGGTAATGTTATATGGCTGTGAGATGTGATCACTCACTAAAGTCGAAGAGTCAATATCACTATGTCAATGAGAGAAGCGTAACGAGCAGAATTTCGTTAATCTCACGTTGCAACCACATCTCCTACATGGTGTTCAGGCAGCGAGAAGAAACTCGTCATCGAATGCAGAAGATACGGCATGCAGGGCCTTAGCTTGGTTCACCGACCTGAGATGTTCGGAGATGATCGCGGACTGGTTCCTTCGAGGGAGGACTAGGTCAGTCGGTCGCCTACCACAATGGCAGGGAGATTATATAGAGAAGGCCGCGCTTGAAGGTAAAAGCCTCCTCGAAACCGCGAGGAATGGCGAACGTGTTGTGTTGCGACCGGCACGATTCGTCGATGATTACCGGTCGGCCCAAGTGAAACTGCAGAGCCACTCTATCTTGGCATAGGTGTCCGCGGTAGATATGGCGAAGGAGAAAAGGAAGTAATGTTTCAGAAAGTGGTTGAGCACAATCCATTTAGTCCACCAACACAGCTTCTTGTGTGGAAGTCTTCCAGGAGGCGGGCATGCAACATGAAGAAAAGGAAGATCTGATGTTAGAGAGTTGCTATCTCCACGATGCAGTAACTGGTGCATCGTAGCAAATCTGTAATACAGCGGACATCACAAACCACAGACGTTCTGCATATGCAAACCTTTCAAGACGTTGATTTCAACACAAAGAAATTTGCGCTATCTGTGGAACATGGGTTTTGATCCGATATTTTCACAGCCTGGGCAACAACTGATCTTTGCCCTGCAGATGGCGGACGGTCTGCCAGCAAATTTTCTTTTCAATCATTAGTCAAAAATCAGTTTCGAACAAATCTCCGCCTTTGGTCCTTGCAGTTCTGAGAGCGTGATCGTAATGAAAACGCGAAGACGAACGGTTGTTTGATTTTGGCCGAAACAAACCTTCTTCGCACGGTAAGCGTCTTGAACTTCCAGGTTTCCTTAAGCAGTTCCTTAATTTTTGCCGCTTATCTGTGACACTAAGTTGCTTACGTCACATTACGATGCGGCCGA